TACTATGAAAAGATTAGGAGGAATGGGTAGAAGTTCAGGAGGCATCAGGAAAATAGAATACAAAGGACTTCACGCAAACACAGAAGAGGGAATAGCCAATCTCATGGCTGACTTTGCACAGGACACATTTAAACCTCTAGAGGACCCGGGATTTGACTACGAATACTTCCAACAAATTGAAGATGAATGGAAAAATGCTCAAGTTGCCTTTGATGCAGCTAATGTGACAATAATCACATCACAAGAAGAGAAGACCTTTTCACCTGGAACCCTGAATCCAACACACTTCGAAATAAAAAATTCCAGGGCAATAATGAAACCCAAACTACAAAACAATCAAAGAAACCCCTCCCAGCTGCACCACAAGCCAATATACCAGTAGATTTACATTGGAAAGAATCCTACACTCATAAGTGTGAAACAGGTAAGGAAGAACTTACAAAGAATTTAATATTCAAGAATTACTCAAAGTCATCAACAAAACCAAAAGGAAAGCACCTGGACATGACAACATCTTCATAGACCAATTCAAAGACTTAGGAAGAGGGGGGCTACACCTATATCTTGAAATAATCAATGAAATATACACAAAGGGAGATTTCCCATCCACCTGGAAGGAAGCAATAATGGTACCAATTCTCAAAAAGGAAAAACCAGCAAAAAACCCAGCATCATGCAGACCTATATCACTCTTACCCATAGGAGGCAAAATAACTGAATCACTAGTCCTACAAAGAATAGACTTACAGATTTGCAAGTTACTACGCTGATAATTACGGTAAAAAAAGATTATTTAAGATTGATTTTTTACAGTCAACTGTAAAAATTTATTTATGAGAATTTTAAATTGATCTTGATATCCTATGTGAGCATAATTTAGTTATGAGAATGGACGACTCTTCTCGTTATATAATGTAGGTACAGTTTAAATATGATAATACTGGACCGATATCGATATTCAATGTGGGTNCTGCTTCATTATAAATATTTGAATATAAACTTACAAATAATTCAGAAATGGAAAAAAACAGAAAAAAAAAGTATCTTTTAAAATCGTTTCCGACGTTATTGATTTATTTATTTATAATTGTATGTACATAATAACTCGTTAAAAAAAAAATCTTGTGATAAATTCATATTTTCAACAATCTTGTAAACCATATAAACAATGATACTCAAATAAATATCTAGATTTTAAAAAAAAAGAATAGACCCATACATAGAGAAGAGAGGACTTATTCCCTGCATCCAAACAGGATTCTGTAGGGTACATAGCACCTCCATTAACCTCAAAAGAATGTACACACATGCCTATACAAAAGCAGTAGCCTCCACTCACAGACAACAAGCCTGCATGACTAGCTTCGATGCAAAGAAAGCCTTTGATAGTGTATACCACATAGGATTCTTCCACAAATGTATGAAAGACGGCCTACCAGGTATCTTTATACGATTCTACAGATCATGGCTAAAGAATAGGACACTGAGAATTAGAATCGGAGAAACATTAAGCAGAAGTATCAGACTTCTCTCAGGAGTACCACAAGGATCAGTTCTGGCACCTGAAGTAGGAACCTGAATACAGGAGACATACCCACTACAATCAGCTCACATAGCGATAATGTGGTTTAAACTGATGATGCATCTACAGCCTCATCAAACATCGACACACTTATGGAACTGGCTCAAAAGGAAATATGGCAACTGGAAGAATGGACTAAAAAGAAGAGGATTAAATTTGAACCCAGCAAAACAAATGTATTGGCTATACACCCTAATCCTAAAATAAGAAGACTAATGAAAGAAACAATACTCTACCTAGACAGAAACAAACGGGAACCCCTCCATTACACCAAACATGTCAAACTCCTAGGAGTTAAATTCTCAGAAACCGGAACATTTCACCAACACATTGCAGAGAAACCCAGAATCTGCTATGGCAGGATTAAACAACTACACAGGTTCAATAAGGAAGTCAGCGGAGATACTCTATATCAAGTATACATTACCTCAATAGAACCTATCATTATGTATACAACAGAGGTCCTATATGAAAACTTCTCGTGCAGCACCATCAAGAAACTTAACGCTCTGGAAATAACTGCAATCAAAACTGCATGTAGACTAGACAGACAAACACCTACCATTGACTGTTTAGAATACCTAAAAAATGGAGGCATTGCTGGCAGACTCATGAAGAGAAGAGACAACTTTGTAGAGAACAACAAAAATTCAACAATCATCAGACACATAGAAACAGTCAAACACTCACAGGAAGAAGAATCCACACAAGAGACATACTCAGAGACAGATCGGCTAGGAAAGAAGGATGGAAAGCCTCATTGAAATTACACAAGAAACTTATCTTCTTCTCCGACCTCGGGGACAACCTGGATGCAGAAGAAGAACAAAAAAACCACCATCACCACACAAGAGAAACTAGCCTGCCAGGAGGGCCATACAGCGAAATCCCCAACAAGATTCCCAAACCAGAGGATCAATCATGTTAGGTTCAGAATTAGACTGGAACATGGAAGAAGGACCTTGTTTGACCCTGGAGGACAAGTCCCTTCCCAAGGACAGATGTCAGATGATGAACATTACATCCCTTTCCCCAGCTAATCCACCAACATTGGCCCAATAATGTTGGTGGGATGGCTGGGGTTTTTCGGGATGGTACGCAGTTCTTTGCAACAGACCAACGCAGACCCCAATAACATTCTGTGATATTGTTACCTGTAATTATGTATTTTTTGTGTTTGTTTTGTATTTTGTAACCTTTATTTTTTTTGTGATTTTGGCTCGTAATTATTGTTAACATTTAAACGCCTGCCTAAAGTGCATATAGAAACAAACGTTTATCAATCAATCAATCAATCGAAAAGTAAGGGACTGTAAAGGAAAAATGAAAGGGGGTATCATCTGAAAGCTAATCACTGTAGCTCTTGATCGCACCAATTCCAGTCGTGAAAATCCGCCAAATAGAATATTAAACCGGTTTTTTGAACTCAACTCTGTGGAAAATAAGATGGGGCAATTGAATCTGAGAGATCAAGCCATAAATAAGGCCCACTGACAGGAAATTGAAAGGAATTAAATCTTTGTAACAAACTTTGATTTTCTAATCCCTATATTGTGGCGGATATGAATATCGTCTTCCTGAATAGTTCTAGAAATCCAAGGAGGAGTTTTTCGATCAGCTGAGATATGAAACATGTGTTTAAGATTCAATTATTTTTACTATATAAGTTAAGTTTTTAAATAAAGTTAATCGTTGAGTAACTTCTTTCCTTTAAAGTTGTAGCACGCCAAATTGGTGACCCCGGACTTTTTGAATACGTTTTCTAAAGTTCTCTGCAAAGCAAAACACAGTGTTGTGATATAGTTAAAAGCTAATTTGTGTCACTAGCATTTTTCGGCTGAAAAGTGATCCTGCCTCCCTGTATTTTCCACAGGCTCTCACAGTAAGCGAAACCTAGTTCGACAGTGATATTTTTCTTTTCAGCGTTGCGATGCCTGGAGACCCAGTTTTGACCACGGGCGGTGTTAGCCAACCTGAACCTTCTCAGTCCAGTCAACTCTACGCAGTTGCTCTTAAGCTGCCTACNTTCATATATCTAAACAATTCTTTTTAAAACGATTAGTAAAATCTTTTTTCATTTTTCGTTTGGAAAAATTGTTTAATAAGAGAAAAAAGTTGCAGAAGTAATAAAGAAAACATTTCCAGTAAATAATTAATTTTTGTGAAATAATTTTAACATTATAAAAACCCTAAATGTCTCAAAACCACTATTTCTTATCACCAGTTTTTCCTTGAAAAAGGGAATTTTTTTAGTTTAAATCTTGAAAGCACAAGAACGTGTAAAAAAATTAGAGGAAAACATTTGGACACTATGTTGATTGTTCAAAATGTATATTTCAAAATATAGGTTGTACGATATTGAATAATACATAGAAAAGTATTTGATAAAAAGCAAGCAAACTTTTTCAAGTTTTGCATGTTTGGAAAATATTTCAGAAAATCCACATACCTAGGACTAGAGTGGAATTGAATTCGAACTGGACCGACTCCCTGTACTGTACCGTTCTGACTGACTGTGTGAAAAGTAAGGGACTGTAAAGGAAAAATGAAAGGGGGTATAGGCTGAAAGCTAATCACTTTAGCTCTTGATAGTGACCCATGAAAGTTATATATGATGTTCCTATACCCCCTTTCATTTTTCCTTTACAGTCCCTTAATTTCATGGCCCCTACCTCATCCTATGTCGGCCTGGGCTAACTACTAACTAGAGCAACTTTTATGGAACGTTGGAAGTGCCAGACTTTTTACTGTACCCAGCTTATCATATGAATCATACACCTGTAAAGCTATTTGACCCACCCCACTAGCCTAGTCTGGTGTGAATCCCCAAACAAACAAAAAACAAGCAAAGTCAGGTCTGCTTTGGAACAAATACAAAATAAGAGAAGATATTCCTTGAACCCGACTTTAAGATCTAATCTTCGACCCAACTCTGACGACGCTTGTGTCACATGATTGACAGCTGCAAGATCTTTGGCTCGACTTTAGACCTTGGTTGGTTTTAATGGAGAATAAGGCTCAATGTTGAGTCTTGTTCTCATCTAAACCCGGAATGCACCAATCCAGCCGTGAAAATCCGCAAAATAGAATATTAAACCGGTTTTTTGAACTCAACTCTGTGGAAAATAAGATGGGGCAATTGAATCTGAGAGATCAAGCCGTAAATAAGGCCCACCGACAGGAAATTGAAAGGAATTAAATCTTTGTAACAAACTTTGATTTTCTAATCCCTATATCTTTGCCAGCCAATTCCGTAGACATCATCAGATATTTCAAACTATGAATTCTTTTGTATCAAATGAAAATTTGAAAAATTAAAGGTTTACACCATAAGGTTGCAATTTGCAAAGATATAGAGATTAGAAAATTTGAGCTTGTGGAAAGAACTGAATTCCTTAAAAAAAATACCTGTTTCTAGATTAATCCCAAGAAAGGAGCATTGACCGTGAAGGGAGAAAGCTTGACAGTTTGTCTTTGGTTTAAAGATTATGATTTAAAAACTGATGACATTTTTTTAACCTGGAAATACAATTACAGGTAGAACATCCAGCTTAAAAATAGTTTGTTTTTTAAATGACAAATAGTGGGGTTGAAATAAATATTTTTTTATCATCGAGGTCTTTTTGAGAAAACCCATGAATTCTATGGCGAGTGTCCAGTTTTTTTCCTTTTTAAACCAATTGTACAGCCACATTGAAGTACATAAGATTTGTATTAATTTGATATTTTTTCCAACAATAATCAGAATTAAAGTTTAAATAAGATACAACTTCACATTAAATATCTCAAATCCTGTAAGTTGATATGATTGGAGATATTAGCCTATATTAAGATCGCTAGTGGGTAAGTGAGGCATTTAAAAAGTCTTGCATTTTTTTTCAGGGGAATTATGACTGTACTATAGGCTAGGGGCGAGGGAAGGGGTGCAGTGATGCCATGAGCCCAGCAAAATGACCTTTAAAGCCTCATGATAAGCAGAATGACCTCCAAGCCCCGCAAAACCGCGGAGGCACGGAGACAGTTTTCTGGGCCTGGAGGCCAGTGATTCTGCATATCATCAGGAGGCTTCGGAGGTAATTTCTGGGGGCTCATAGGGCTCTGAACACCTGCCCTCGCTGGGAAAAACTCGGGTACGAATAGAATTTTTAAAAAAATATATAAATGAAATTTTTAGATAAAAAATTGAAAGTTATTGATCAAAAACAATCGGTTAGATAAACATTTCCCTGATACTTTAATTTAAGTTACTGTTAGATAAAGTAAAAATTACTAACAATGCCTGCACTACGTACTGCGCAGCTATACTGTACTATTGAATTTATAAAAATTACTAAAAAGAACCGAGATTTTACCAAAAAATCAAATTTTTCAATCTCTATACCTTTGCAACCTGATGGTCTTAACCCTTTAATATTTTACACATAAACATCGAAATTGGGTTGCAAAGAGATAGAGACTAGGAAAAATTTGTGGTAAGAACTTAGTTCCTTTTAGTCAGTTTTAAAACTACTTTTCTGTAGAAATCCATTGGCCTTTTTCTAGATGAACAAGATTTTTCTCCAAAAAGGTTTAATTGTAATCCTTCAAATAATTCCTTCTCAATCTTTCTAGACGAGCGTTGGGTCAATGCGAAAGAAGTAGGTTGCAATGTGATAACCCCTCATGGGGTTGTACTGGTCTCTGCACCACTGACTGCGGCAATAAAGCTTGTGTATTTGGAGTCTGTACGCCATGTTGGAGGCAATATTTTTTAAACTTGTAAATAATAGCCGCCCAATCAGTAAATTAATTTACATAGTTTGGATTTAATGGACCACATACTGCTTAAACTTAGGTTTGGGCGTTTTCTTTCGTTTGTTTTTCAGACTTTTAGGTTTTTTGACTATGAATCGTTTTTTTTTTTTTCTTAACATTTGCTTTCCTTGTAAAATTTTAACCGTGAGAGAAGATATTTTCATGAAAGAATTAAATTTTTATTTCATTGACGCAAATATCTTCTTCCAGATTCAAAATTTTATAAATTATAAGAAAAGAAAATAGTAATAAAATAGTTTTGAAATTCGTGAACCTTTATAAAATTTTGTAGAACCTTTTAAAAGTAAAAAAAAGTCTTTTAAGAAAAATGTATTATTTGACTAATTTTTCTGAATTAAAGGACAGTTTTCATTTAAGAAAAATAATTCCAATATGTTTGCAACCTAATGTCATAAAACTTTAATGTTTCAAACCAAGATTTTTGGTAGATTAAATTGTTAAGTTCTAAAACATCACTGGTTCACACCATGAGGGTACAAAGACAATAGACAGTGAAATCCGTAAATGACGTCACTGATTATGGAGTCGAGTGTAGGAATTAGTGACGTCACTGATTATGGAGTCGAGTCGAGTGTAGGAACTAGTGACGTCACTGATTATGGAGTCAAGTGTAGGAATTAGTGACGTCACTGATTATGGAGGCGAGTGTAGGAATTAGTGACGTCATTTACTGATTTCACTGTCCATTTCTTAGGACGATATTCTTCTTACATCGAGATCAACCTTGCTTAATAACCTTGGTTTAGTTCCTTTGGTTCTTGTTAATCATGAATGCAAATTGTCACAAAAACTATAAATACTCTAATTTTGTTCAGATGACAATAAACCTCGAAGTGAACAGAAATCCAACTCCAAAACTTTCAAGTACTTAAAAAAAGAAATTATGATTTCAGCAAATTTTTTTTATTAATTCTTTTTCTTTTTAAAGAAATGATTATGATTGGCATTTCTACTGCATGGTTCTAACTCCAGATGGAAAAATGAAGTAAGATATTACTGCAAATGCAAACTAGCCTCAGAACTCTAGTTTTTAATCTGTGAAACCAAATGGTAAACAATTTAGGATTAAAGAATTGAAAACCTTTGATATTTCTAACTATTAAACATCCAGTTGTAATGAGGTTTAACAAATTTGAGAGCCACATGTACAGTTATTTTAGATGATTTTTTTTCCAAACTGGCATATCATGTTTATTGTCCCCCTGATTCCGATTATAATCATTCAGACAATTTGCTTCAGAATAGTGGATGTTTTTTTTTTCTCATTTTACAACTACCCATGTTAAAATGTGATGATTAAGGGGGGAGGGTGCTACAATCTTAACATATGGAAAAAATAAATTTTTGCAAAATCCATTCTTCACCCATCAAATAGGAAAGACAAAACTTGTTGGGACACTCACAAAGATTAAAACTTTTTTTTTAAAGTTAACTAGTTTTAGTAAGGTGGGTTTTTAAAGATGAAAGATTTCAAATTTAAATACAGTGAATCCCAGATATATGAATACATAGAAAGAGTTTTTTTTATAATGTCGTATTAATTTATGATCAAATGCCGCGGAAAAATGAGTTTAATATTAATATGACAATTGTATTCATATTTGAGGGATATTAATTTACCTTGAATTAAAAATAAAAAGAAGTTTCTATAGAATTATACATAATACAAAACTCTTGCTATGTATTCATTTCATATATCTGGGATTCACTGTATAAGATCAATAGAATAATCGATTTGGGGGGCAGGGGTATGGTATAATGAGATATATGGAGGAGCAGGGAGATCTGCATTTATTCTTTACTTTTAAGATTCACTTGATTTAATTTGAGATACAGGGTTACCCACAAAGGATGAGACTTGAATGGCGACCTAAAATCATGATTTAAACCAATCTAATTTTAAATTTGGTCTGCTGCCTTAAATAAAGTTATTAAGTGATTTACCTCTTGATTTACCTCTTGATTCACCACGTGATTTACCTCTTGATTTACCTCGTGATTTACCTCATGATTTACCTCGTGATTTTCCTTGTGATTCAACACGTGATTTACCTCGTGATTTTCCTCGTGATTTACCACGTGATTTACCTCGTGATTTTCCTCGTGATTTACCTCGTGATTTACCTCGTGATTTACCTCGTGATTTACCTCGTGATTTACCTTGTGATTTACCTCGTGATTTACCACGTGATTTACCTCGTGATTTACCATGTGATTTACCTTGTGATTTTCCTCGTGATTTACCTCATGATTTACCTCGTGATTTACCACGTGATTTTCCTCGTAATTTACCTCGTGATTTACCACGTGATTTTCCTTGTGATTTACCTCGAGATTTACCTCGTGATTTTCCTTGTAATTTACCAAGTGATTTACCACGTGATTTACCTTATGATTTTCCTCGTGATTTACATCGTGATTTTCCTCGTGATTTTCCTCGTGATTTACCTCGTGATTTACCTTGTGATTTGACAGAAATAAAGAAGTTTTAAGTTGCGGCGAACCGGGAAGCTGTGAGAAAAAAGTATAAATGAATTCTGTACTGTCGTCTTTGAAGTCTCATTCTTAATGGGTTACCTTGTACAATGTACATACTATTAGGTTCTACCAAGATGGAAAACTGCAAAGTACTTCATGGGGAGACGGATACCAGCAAAAGTAGAAATAAAAAAAAATAAAAATAAAATTTAACAGTTTAGAAAGATAAAAAATCGTCACAAATATTGCTGATAAACTTTACCTTGTGTTAACCACAAAAGCAAACCATATTTTTACAAAATTTCACTCGTTTTACATAAATTTTTGGTCGAAAGTTTTTACTTTTGATAAATTATCTGCAATACTTTGGTTAGTTTTTATACAGTTAAACCCTAAATAAGCCATACATCGAAAGAATATATCAAATGTCGTATTCTTCACTTTCTGATTATGGAATGTTGAAGATATTTAGTTTTGTAATTAAATGATTATATGGAGCTCTTTAAAACTGTTCCCGCATATTCATGGCTATTTATTTATTTTTGCAAATACTGAGATTTACGTAAAAAATTATAAAACCCACTGAAAAATTGTCAAGACGACATTTGATAAATTCTTTCGATGTTTGGCTCATTTCGGGTTTAATTCTGTAATCCGTATGTCAATTCTTTTTATTTCTCACACAAAATCCCCATAGCGCAAAAAGTAGCAGATTTATTTTGAAAAATACCTTTTGGTGGCATCTTAAAGTTTGGTCCGGGGGAAGGCTTAATTCTTTTCCTTTCCAGGGGGAGGGGCTCTGCATCTGTTGGGGCCTGAAAAACCCCGGAAAACCATAGACTTCACTGGTCCAGGATTCAGGGGGAGGGAACTGAGACCCCAAATCCCCCCCTAAATACGCATCTGAAATATTTAACGGTTTACAATTAATTTTGTTTTGTCTCAATTATGTTGGTTACTAGTTTGATTAGAATATTTGTTTATAGTGTGAACAGCTATAATGATATCTCTGCTATGACAGATGAAGTCCTGTATATTGGTCGTCTTCCTCTAGACATTGCCAGGACTCCCTTCGATCCTGATGTTACATCAATGAATGGAGCCCTAGCTTACCTACAGGTATACATACATAACCCTGGTGTCCTATCCTACCTACAGGTATACATACATAACCCTGGTGTCCTAGCCTACCTACAGGTATACATAACCACATACATAACCCTGGTGTCCTAGCCTACCTACAGGTATACATACATAACCCTGGTATCCTAGCCTACCTACAGGTATACATACATAACCCTGGTGTCCTAGCCTACCTACAGGTATACATACATAACCCTGGTATCCTAGCTTACCTACAGGTATACATACATAATCCTGGTATCCTAGCCTACCTACAGGTATACATACATTACCCTGGTGTCCTAACCTACATACACCTATACATACATAACCCTGGTGTCCTAGCCTACCTACAGGTATACATACATAACCCTGGTGTCCTAGCCTACCTACAGGTATACATACATAACCCTGGAATCCTAGCCTAACATACATAACCCTGGTGTCCTAGCCTACCTACAGGTATACATACATAACCCTGGTATCCTAGCCTACCTACAGGTATACATACATAACCCTGGTTTCCTAGCCTACATACAACCCTTGCATACATAATATTTTTTGACAAATTTGACTGAGTATTGCATCTTGAAATATCATAAAGTCTAATGATTATTCAATTACTGACTCACTATACTAAAATCTAAATCCATCTTAAAACCACTCATTAACCAACTTTGTGATATTTCAAGATGCAATACTCATTCAAATTTGTCAAAAATTTCATCAAATAACAGTTTAAGAATTTAACACACAAAATATTATTCTTAAGTAGAATTGAAAAAATTATTTTAGTTGTGCTTTTTTGCGTGACGCGGCTGGACTTTTAAAAATCACACTTTAAAGGCCCTAATATACCATTAAAAAAAGTAGTTTTGCTCGGAAGAGTCAAATGTGGTGGTACGGAAGGGGAAATAGTGGTGGCTCATGGCTGCCGGAAGAGAAAAAAGCTAATATGTGGCACGGAAGGGGAAATAGTGGTGGCTCATGGCCACTTGTCTTCCCCCCCTCCTCTTGTCGGTGCTTGTAAACAAGAATAGATACATCAGTGTTACTCTTGCATATGAGGAGGATAAAAGCATTTAATTTTGATAATTTTAATAATTCACAAAATAGTTTCCTAAAGACCAGAATATTTCATTAATGTCTTATGTTTAAAGAGGGATCCCATGTCAGGCTGTGACATCCGTTTTGTGTTTACCTTACCGCCCAGAGACAGTACTGTGTACACCCCAGTATAAAAGATGCGTACACCTCTGAAATTACTATCTTTACATTATATTCTTTGGGTTAGGCCTTCTGAGGCGCCATAGGTTTCAATCCGGGACAGAGCGCTGTGACTAGAACAGGCTAGAGGGGAGAGAGCTCCGGCTAGAACAGACTTGGGAAGTTTCCGCTCAGGAAAATGCTTTTGGGAATGTACCTAACATCCTAATAATACCAACCTCCGAAGTCTGAAGTACAAACCTAATTTTTATTTCTAAATTCTTCACTAACTTGATTTATCTAGGAAAACTATAATAGGGAATTTTCTTAGATATACATTGGAGAGGAGATGTTACAAGAAGATATCATTGAAGCTATGAAATTGACTTCAATCACATTTAATCCTTAACTTGTTTTTTTTCGTAAAAAAGCATCAAACTTTATTGTCCTTAATGTGTTCTTGACTTAACCTTGATTGCATAATAATTATAATTTATCCCAGAATAGAACGGTTTTAAAAAATATTATTTGTTTTTATCCTTTGGTAAATATTATTCCATGCCAATATGCTCTTGCGGAGACATTATAGACACATCTTTGGTGTCTTTTACCCTTTTCAATAAATAAACTCTAGCAGACATAATAATATTATGGCTTTTGAAATTAGGTATTACAGTGCTAATTCATAACAAAGACGATATCGAATTCGTCACTGAATTCCCATGTTTTTTGGGACACCCTGTACCTAACATCTTATTAATACCAACCCAACCTCCGAAGTACAAACCTAATTTTTATTTCTAAATTCTTCACTAACTTGATTTATCTTAGATATACATTGGAGAGGAGATGTTACAAGAAGATATCATTGAAGCTATGAAATTGACTTCAATCACATTTGATCCTTAACTTGTTTTTTTTCGTAAAAAAGCATCAAACTTTATTGTCCTTAATGTGTTCTTGTCTTAACCTTGATTGCATAATAATTATAATTTATCCCAGAATAGAACGGTTTTAAAAAATATTATTAGTTTTTATCCTTTGGTAAATATTATTCCATGCCAATATGCGGCTGATAGTTGTATACGTGCCAGCCGATTTGAATGTACAATTAAACGGTCTACCAAAATGTGCTAGTAGGAGATAATTAGGGGGATGATAGTTTCTCAGTTATGCTGTACAGAGCTGAAAACTTTCGGATGAGATATCCTTAATCACGATTGCTTAATCTGAGTATCCAATGTACACACTTTTGATTTTCTTCTTAATCCTCTTTTTGGATATACCTTCTGTATAAAAGTTACATTTGATAACAATTACAGATACAATGCTATATCGATTGGACTAATATCCGATTGAAATAAAGTCAGCTGTTCACAAGCCGGCTTTTAGAGCATTTAAACAAATATAAATTTTACCATGTTAATATGAACTTATTAAAAAACATATTTTATCACATTTTAGGACCATTGTATTTTTAAACGTGAGTCTTAATAAACATAAATCCAAAACTTAAGTTCGTTTCATCGATGTTTAGTTCAATTGATATGACACCATCAGCACCAAATATAAAACAAGTTTTTCAAAAGTTAAACATCTTACCATGAGACGCTGGTTGGTTGAATTTCAAACTTCTATTTTGGATATTGAATTAATAGCATTAATCTTAATATCCATCATTCTTAAGTTTTCAGCTCTGTACACATACAACTGTTTACTAATAATGATATTACAGGTTAGGTCAGAATCTCCTTATGATAAACAAATATGCAGTACGCACTCGGTATAGTTTATGGCCTATACAATTGGTAAAGGATTAGCGTACATCATTAATCTATACACTTTAACCTCGTTTGAGATAATGGTCTAATATACAGTACACAAATGTGCAGTCCACTTTCAGAGTACTTGTATAAACTTAACTTTCTGAGAACCCCGTTTCTTAACATTAACATTAAGACCAATTGCTGATTTTAAACCACGTTTTAAAATGCTGCAACTATCTTTTCTAATAATTGATTTAAGAAAATTATTAGTATGAAACATTACGTAAAAATGACTTTTTATCAAATAAATAAAAAAAGAACATAATTGAGTTGAAGTATTTCTATTTTATTCTAATGAAGTATGGCAGGGTTAAAAAACAAGAATTGTACAACGTATATTCTAGTGAAAAATTTCACAAATCAAATATAACAACATTGAATTAAAAAGTTAAGTATTAACAGTAGGACAACATTACAAAGCTTAAGTAATAGATAAAATTTATAAAATAAAATAAGTGATTTTGTAATTTGTGATTTGAAAACTAATCAACAGCACTTGGAATAAATATTAAGTGAACTATGAATGGATAATCTGAAAACGGCAAAACGAAAAATCTGAATGGTGGATAAATTGACGGTAAAATTGTAGGAAGGACATTCTGGAAAATGGAGAGAAACAGTGTAATACACAGCCGCTATTTTTAAAATTCGGATTTTGAGTAAGAACGTAACTTTTAGAAAAGAAGCATTTTAGCCATTAAATGTCAACAATTTTCCTAATCCCATTCCATGATAAAAAAATCATTAACAAAAGCTCCCAATCATTAATTAATGAAATTAAATCCTTTTACTCTGAACACTGATTATTCGAACATTCGTACTTTAACCCTAACTACATTACTATAATTATCACAATGATATATTTTCACAAATTTTCTAGATTATCGTATTTTCTGTATGGTGTAACCATAGATTAGTAACAATACAGATAGAACACTAGATGTCGTCTTTTCAAGATTTAGAGGTTTGATGTCGTCTTTTCAAGATTTCGGGGTTTTCTTTCACAATAACCCGGAGGCAGAAACCCACAGAAGTTACGCGAATGCTCTCTCTTGACATTCAACGCGGCATGCACGTAACTCCTTTGGACTTCTGCCTTAGGGTTGTTTTGAAAGAACGACATCTTGTGTTCTATCTGTATTGTTATTAATTTATAGATGTAACGTTTACACTATGCATAGAACACAGTATGCACTTATGCTTTATGCTGTACACTATACACAGTAATATGTATTTTATATCGAAGAATTCGTAACAGCCCTTATGCTGCTTTCTGAATGTTAAAATTGGAATGTTTTGAAAAATTGAATTCACTGTTTCTTGTTTACATATTGGTGACAACTCACTAAGCCTGGGTGTACTCGGAAGACGGACAGTAGTGAATTTATTGAAACATAAAAGAAGGAACAAGGAGCAGTGAGGCCACTAGGTTTGATAAGGCCATGGAACGACGTAACTGTTGTAAAAGGAACGATAGTTTGCAGGAAAATCAGGAAAATCCGCTCAAAAAATAATTTTCTAGGACAGTTCCTAGTTGGCGGAATGATAAAGGATCTTCTGTTGAGTTGTTTAAACTAAATCTGACGTGTGAAAAGTCATGATGATGATTCTACGCGGTAGGATTGTGACTAATCTATAGGTTCTACGTAGTTCGCTGGATAGAGTCCAACCCGACCATCCTTTCTTCCTTTACACCAACCCTGCTCATCCTCATCTTCCAACTTCTCAAACTCATCACCTAATACAGATACATAGTTCAAGGGAATATAAGCGTAATTTCAAGTGAACTTCTATTTATTGAATGGCAGATCCGATTTACAACAAAACCCTCTAAACCTTTGCTTGATAACGTAGACATTCTCATTTATATAGTTCGGGAAATTAAGTGCCAAGAAACCCCTAGAGTATACATTAGCACGCACACAGAGTACAGTGTACACTGTAACCTCGAGTCTCCAGGTACCCAATCTTCAGCTATACAAATGAGGATATCTCCCTCATCGTTGTCCTGACAAAGGTTTAAGGGTACCGTTGTGAATGGATGGTCACTTGAAATTACGCGTACAGTCCCTTTAACAATCAACCAGAGGAAAAAACTTGCCGATTCAATTTTCATTATATTTCATTTATAATACTAAAAGAACTAACTAATCAAGAATCAAGACCTAATCAAGACCTATTGACCTCGACATACTAATTTTACTGATTGATTAGATTGAAAGGGATGTAATTTCAAGCTTTTCTACATGTCCGATTTACAACGGCACCCTTAAAGTACGTTTGATCTAGATTGCATAAATTTTCCATCATCTTTTCTTTCTAAATCTATTGTTATCAATTGTGGGTTTCATTTAAGTGACATGCATATTTCTGCTTAAGAAATAATTCAGAAATTTTTCAGACGTTAACATTTTTCCAGGTAGATCCAGTACTTATATAATTATTGTTTAAATGGTACATGTACATGTTGCAGTGACTTTGCATTTAAGGAAGCGCTTGTCCGATTCACACCGGTACCATTTAAACAATAATTATATAAGTACTGGATCTACCTGGAAAAATGTTAACGTCTGACAATGTATGTATATACATATACATACACATACACATACACATAAACATACACATACACATACACATACACATACACATATACATATACATATACATATACATATACATATACATATACATATACATATACATATACATATACATATACATATACATATACATATACATATACATATACATATACATATACATATACATATACATATACATATACATATACATATATATACATAAACATAAACATATATGTGAGTGTTTACCAGCTTTAAAGGCGAGCTCATCAGGTTCTGCAGCCTCATAATCATACAGAGCCTTCACAGGTACTCCTGGTTCCCCATTATCCACTAGAGGAACCCCTAAACATTATCCTTATATATAAACTCCTGGTTTCCCATTATCCACTAGAGGAACCCCCAAACATTATCCTTATATATAAACTCCTGGTTCCCCAGTATCCACTAATTTTCAATATCTAAGTTTATCATCTTTCTTTCAATCATTTTCCCCAAAAATTCTATTTTTTTGGCCGCTTCGAATAAAAAATTATTTTTAAAAATGAGTTTCAAGAAAATATATAACTTTAAGAAAAAATTTCAAATTACCTCCATCATCCCATTCCTCGGATTCTTCATCGAATGGATTTGGTTCCTTTCCTCCATTACTAAAACAGAATTTAACAATTTAGATAAATGCAATTATGAAAAACTTGACAAATCCAAACTTAATTAGATTGCTAAAACACGGTAACATTTTAAGGCGTAATTTCTAGTGTCCCTCCATGCAAAGATGGCAAAGTACAATTAGTACCCTTGAAAACTTTATCTCATCAAAAATGTGGAAGATACCGTCGTATTTCTGACCCAGAAAGTTTTTTTATTCTGATCATTTATCCATAAGCAAGAAATGGCCAAATTACTTTAACAGAGAAACCACAAATTAAAATAAACATTTTTAATAAACAAAAACATGCATATCTAATTCATACTTGATCCAATTAAGGCTTCAAGGGTATAGTTGGAAATCGGACATTGCCATCTTTGCATGTAGGGTTGATTGTAATTACGCTTACAGTCACTTTGATGCGTGCAATGTGCATTCATCAACTTTATTCAAGGTTTTCGATTTCTGAAAAAAATGAAGAAAAAAATCACAAAAACACCCAAAGTGAAAACGAATACGCATTTGCATATAATGTGAATTTAACACAAAATCAAGATGCTAAAGTGAAACTTTTCATTGAAACGAACAAATGATAAACTTGTTTTAAAATCTAACAAATATGGTTTTAGTGCTCTACTCTCTACCGGCTACAGATTAGGGTCAACACGACAAATTGGTAATAGTAAAAATCATTTTCATTGCTTTTTATACACACCTGCTTTAAATTAACATTCATTACCAATTTGAGCTTTTCTAGTATTTCGGAGCTAAAACGGATTTGTAAGCATGAGCTTTTATTACCGTAAAAATAAGGTTGTCATTCAAAAAATTTTAGTAAAAAATGTTCCTAGAATAAAATTTCGACAAAAAACTGTGCGCACAACTATCTTTAAATTTCACATAAAAATTCATCCATTCAAAATGACTGAGCTACATTAAAAAAAAGTTTGAGCACAATTGCAAATTGCAAAATGTGTGAAGGAAAATATTGGCAGTGCAAATATGGAAGTACAATTGATTTGTTTGTTCTGTAAGGAGGTGTGAACATTGAGTTTAAACATCTAATATACAGTCAGATCCAGTAAAGAACAGAATAAAAGTCATCATTAATAGTGCTTGCCAAATAGATTATCAAGTACAATAGGTGGCAACAGAGAAATGGACCAATTATACACGACGTCAACAAGTGTCAAATGTAACAAGGAAAAAGAAATTTTCACACATTTATAGTTGCCATGTTTTCCAAGATGAAATAAAAAAGTGTAAAATTAGAAAATTAAGAGCACATTGAATTGCACTTATATGAACTTTATTCTAAAATTATTACTATTGTTAATAATTTTGTCGGACACCAAAACTAAGTTGACACTTGTGACGTCAGAATACAGCTGTTCTGAGAGTGTACAAATTCTATGTTGCCATCTATTGTACTAAAATCTATTTGGTTCTTGCAATAAATATACTAATATCCTCTCAAACTTTAGCCTCAACATTATTTCAGTTATGACGTTGTTAAGTTACAAAATCTTCAGCCACGTTACTTAACAAATATTCAACAAAGACGACTGTATCTCTGCTTTATCCTGATTATGACTTGATATCTATGCATCTAGGGAGGATACACCCAGCCGCAATTAGCCTAACAGATTTGCTTTCATACACTACCGAGCCTCCGCTGAACAGTTCACTTAAAATTTTATATTAAAACTAAAATTTTTTTTTTACGCAAAAAGTAACAAATTAAGAAAAAAAATTTTTTAAGTGAATTTGATTTAATTTGTAAAATCTTTGATTTATGCAAAAATTATTTAAAAGAATAATTTTATTTTCAAAGATTTATCTCACTATAAATAATTTTTCGAAAAAAACGATTATAAATCAAATAGAATTAACTTAAGAATTTGATTTCTTGGATCTTCCGTTTCGTGTAAAAACGTCTGAATTTTTAGCAAAAAATTATATTGTTAAGCAGAAGCTCGGTACTGTTAAACAAAACTTTGGAGGCTAAAGGGGGCAGGGGGTTCCCTCCCACATAAATCTCACTGGTTGTCGGATTCTGTTGATTGTATTGATAAGAGCTCCATGGAACCGTTTAACTCACGAGATAAAGCGGAAAACGGGTTGCCAGACGGGTTGTTGGGAGGCTTACAGCTGGAGCTTTCAATGGGCTTCGAACCAGATATAGAATTAGTTAGTAACTGGAGAGGGAATGGTAACTTTTGAACTTCCGCTGAAGGCTGATTATTTCCAGTTTCCGGTTTTATCATTTGGTTCAACTTGGGTTCAGAATCAGGAGAAAGGATTGTTGATTCCTTGGCGTCTTCTTTCTTGACAGTTGGAGGAGTAGGAGTCCATTGAATGGGTAACTCATCTCTTAAGGGTAAAGTTAGGAAAGTTAAGGATTTTTGTTAGTTTTATTTTGAAGTGGTCAAATGGCAGAACAATTTTGTCACAAATATATAAAATTTTTCCCTTTTCAAACATTTTTTATGTTTAGTATGTAAAAAAAAAAAATTTCCCCCCTAAAAATGGTTATCAACCCAGATAGGTCAAATTCCAGGAGTCGTGTTTAAAAAGAATAGAAAAAACCAACAGACCCATATTGCTTCAAGTTAAAAAAAACAAAAAACTGAAACTTTGCCTTCTTCAGATTTCAGGTACATGTAACGTAAATATATTTTAAATACCATTAATAAATATGGTATATTTAAAGAAATAATTCACGTCCTCATCTGAAAGTGCACAGCGCTATACAATTACACTGTACATTGTACACACTATAGAAATTTATGTTGTGCTTTGTTTGAAAAATCAGATAAAAAATCTCACACAGCTGTTAGTTAAATTTCAAAACCCAACTGCTAACAATTTATTAAAAAACAAAAAAAGGTTGTTTTGTATCCGGTGCTAAGAGCACAACACACGCTGTCTAGAATAAGCGAACTGATAATCTAGAAGGGGTTGTCCATAATGTCTCCAACACTATTCGAACATCAGAAATTACTAAGTCGACTTTGATTTGCGGATTTATAAACCCAGTTCGCTCATTTTCGACATATCGAGACCAGAATGGTCAGATGACCATTTTCTATTCCCATTTGTTAGTTGAAAAGGCTGAAAAGGCTGAAAAGGTTGAAAAGATCGAAATCAAATCCTACTTTTCTGAATCCATATCGTCTGAATCATCTTCAAAGGGATTCTTGGATGAATCCGAAGCTTGGATGGATCCTCTAAATCATTTCAGTTTTGGAAATATTTTGAAAATATCTAAATCCTTCACCAAACCAAATACATAGTTCAGAATCCATTTAATTTTGATGCAGATCCGGATCCTGGATCCGCACTGGAAAAACAGAAATCCGGATCCAGGTCATACACATTTCTTTATAATTTACTGAATTTCTTTTAACAAAGCAGAATTTTCAAATATTTTTCTGCTTTTTTTCGCTTATTTTTATGCTTAAAACATTCAGAGATCAGGATATTTTTAAAAATCTCTCTTTTTCAACAGTTCAGAATTGGGGGTTGAGAGTAAATATTTTTTTATGTAGTTTTTGGTTGATATTTAGCCCCTATGATCATATGCACTAGTTGGAGATTAGATATAAGTTTTTACATAATTAACACTTAATCGAAGGGAGGGAGCAAGTGCCCACCCCAAGACTTCTTAATGATCAAATTTGGAACTGAAGAACTTACCCCAATCAATCAATCAATCAATCAATCAATCAATCAATCAATCAATCAATCAATCAATCAATCAATCAACCAACCAACCAACCAACCAACCAACCAACCAACCAACCAACCAAACTTTCAGGGACACCCTATGCCCAAATCAAAATCTCATCATAATTAGATTACCTATTAATATTATTAGATGAATTATTAATATTATTTCCAGGTTTAGCTGCTCCATTCATGTCCTTCTTTCTGCTCTTTACAGCATTATATTCCTGAATATAAACAAAATAAATACAGGCGTCGTCGTATACATAACAACACAATGAAGACGACTTTCAGTTAAAATTATTTATTTCTACAAAGCTTTCTAACAGCATAGATATATATAAACATGGAAACAAAGAGACACTGTCAATTAACAGCTTCCCTTTGTTTACTTGAAAACTTGTAATTTGAAGAAAACTTTTAAGAAAACTTATTTAAATATCGTCTTCATTATATTGATATGAACGCTGATCACTGTATGATTATTATCGAGGTAATTTCGACTCCATGATCTCACATTTGAAAAAACAATTATTGACAAAAAAGTTTAAAATGCCATTAATTAAGAGATGTGTTATGATTATTAGATAAGGTCGTTAGCATATAATAAAAAAGTGTTTATTTTTAAAGATAACAACCTTCTTGAAAAAAGAAATTTAAAGTTTATTGTCTGAAAGATTAATGAAAATTAAGTTTGTATAAAAAAATATTCATTTCAGAGGCAAATATTGAGTTAAAATTGATAAACCACGTAGTTAACAATTTACCCTTCTGATTTTCGAGAAGAAAATTTTGATATAAACATTAAAACTTTTTTTTAGAGTAAACTTAATAGTATTACAACGAGTAAGTAAGAAAATACATATTTTGAGATATTTACTGAACAGAAAATAATCTAATTAAAAAAAAGTTCTAGTAAGTGCAAAAAAATAATAAAATTACTTCATGCATATGTACAAATTTAAAATCTATGTACATGAACTATACCTTGTTCTATATTGAAAAAAATTATATCTTACATTGTTTCAATTTCAAATTTAAATAAACTCGGATATCTGTTAATATATTTGGCTTGTCTGTCTTGTTGTATTCAATTAATGTAAACGATCTGACCCAGATTTGTTGTGCAACTCAAATGACCCCAAGGAAGACTAATCAAATTAAAAAAAAATTGCCTGGAAAAAATGTAGATTTTTGTTAAGCTTTAAAAATCTATCAACGTTAACAGATAGATCCGCAAAATAATGTTTTTAAGTTACGAGGATAAAATGGCGGCTTGAAAGCAACATTCAAACTCTCTGAAAGCCTAGTCTTAAATATTTCAGAGTTTGAACGTGTAGTTTACTTTGTAATTTAACAACACCTACAGCAAATCATTTAACATGTTGTTTAAACTAAATGTAACTCTTCAATATAATCTTCATCATCATAATAAATGAAAATATAACTACTACAATTCCAGCTAATAAATAAACAGCTTCATAGTTTAAATTGACAATTTAGTAAGTAAAAACGGAAATTGACAAGGCAAAACAGATGAAAAACGTTAATTTTTTTCTGTACCTCCCCAACCAATTTTTAATTCGTACCTCTACGTTAAATTTTTTGATCACATATATACAAGTTAATATATTGAAGAGTTCTTAGAATGAGCTTCCTACGAATTTACCCCCGAATGACTTAAAGAAAAGTTTCCAGATCGGCTGAGACAAAGCTTCGACAGGATTTTCCTTTCATAACACCGAATATGCTAGAAATAGAGTTCAATCATACAGTGAGAACTATAAAAACGAGGAATTCGCGTCGTCTTCTTTTTAAATTGTGAAATGTCGCTGAAGATTTTGTAAGCTGTAACTAAACTATGACAGTGCCCTGAACATTTCAGAGATAGCGGAGCCTTGCAAAATCATTCGCGACATTTCTTAAGTAAAGAAAGAACAGAGACAGCATTCATTCCATGGTTTACTAGTTTTAACTGAACAAACTTCATTTTTCTTACTTAATCATTCAAAGGCTACTTTTGGTGGTATAACACGTATCCACATGGACTCCAAACTCGATATTCACAGTGTAAATTTATAATCAAAGTACCTGTGAGCGTAATTTAAAGTGACCCTCCATGCACAGATGGTACTGTCACATTCACAAAGGTACTCTTGAAAGCTTTTTCTGATCAAGTTTGAATTAGATATCAACGTTATTTTTCATTGCGGTTTCTCTGAGAAACTGACTTGCGCATTCCTTGTTTATGAGAAGCAATACACCCACAGAAAAAACACTCTTTCAGAAAAACGACGGTATCTTCCACATTTTTGATCAGATGAATGATTTAAGGGTACCGTTCCAAATCGGGCATTGTCATCTGTACATTGAGGCCGGAGGGTCACTTGAAATTACGCTTCCAGTAAGTTCTATCCAGGGGATATACGTTTTTTTTGTCTGATTGGTACATGTAGTAAATATGTTGATCTATACGTACTGGAAGATCGTCGCAGACCGATCTCTGGTTGATGAGAGTAATGTTTCCGTCGGGAATATTCGTCATCTTCTTCGCCTTCGGAGCAATATCTCTAAACTCCTCCGTATACTCCTAACCAGGGGGATATACATTAACACAACACCACAACCCTCACCACCAGACAACTTCATTTAATTATGTTAAACATTAGTCTCTCTTTATAAACTTGTATCTCAATCTGACGTTAGAGGTGAGAATTTGAGAAACCATTCTGTAATTAAACGGAAGAACATTTCGGATCAACATAAAAGTAGTACCAATTATGACTAATATATAGGGACATAAAAGCTATTTTTAAATGAATGCACTTCTTGTTAGTTTTCACGATGTTATTCTAAACAATTGGGAAAAGGCAAATTTTTTTCGTTTAAATTTCAAAAAAAGTTATTAACTTAATTGTACGGCAGGTTTATAAAACAGACAAATTCGAATCCCGAATATTTCTCCGGGTGTTGTTCTATCGATGAGTGTCCAAATTCCAATTAATTTCAACACTTTTGACCATATCTGGAGAAAATTCATTATTCATTTAAAAAGATAATGCAAAAAAAAAAAAAAAACAAGCTTACATGCAATCTGATGTAAAAAAAAACACAAAGCAAAACATGGCATAAAAACACGTGCATCAATTGTTTAGTACCTACATAATGAAAAGGAATCTAGCTGGTAGTGTACGCTTTGCATATTTTGTGATATTAAATAAAAAAAAATATATTTTTAACCCTCTACATTTATCAATCCCCTTTAAAGTTTGGGGATGGTAGAGATATCCTTTATTTTCTCATTGATAATTAACAATTTCCAATTATGGTTTTTGTCAAAAATGGTCAGAATTTATTTCTCAGTCAGGAAAACGACGATATCCTATTTCTTCGACAATTCCTTGAAGTCACGTGATTCCTTTTCTTAATTTAGGTAATCCAGATCCTAGATTGACCTGTAGGTTGACCTACCTCAAACTGCGGCCAGGCCATCGCCATGTTTACTCCGTGTGTGTTGGACCACCAGCGGAGATCCTTGTCGTGATCGGCATTACTAACAGTGTGATAGAATTCATCGTAGATCTGGGGAAGCCTAAAAAAGAAAAAAAATGTAAAACAAGAATATATTTTTATTAATATCTTGCTCCCAAAAACTACAAAAATATTTGAAATAAGTTCTAAATTGATGTGTGAGAACACTGCCCCCCCCCCAAAAAACATAAGAATGGCAATGCATGGTTTGTTCTCGTTTAAAATGGTTACTAACTAAAAGCGCAAAAAAAAACTAAGATGAAATAACGATAAAAATGTAACATTACTTTTTCGATTTTCGAGTTAAATTACAGAAAGGTTGAACGAGTTTTATGTGTCAAAAATTATATTTTTACAATGTCTTCCTTTAAATGAGGATAAAATCTATTTAATTTCTCCCACTAAATGATTAATTCTGATTTGAGGATAGTATCTTACGCTGAATCTTCTGAAATGTTTAAGCATTTATGAATTGAGAACAAGGTTTCTTTAAAGGTCTGCAACCGCTGGGCTTCCTTACGCTGACACCGCTCAAATACATCCGTCATATCCTAGAATCAATCAATCAATCAATAATCAATCCATAAATCAATCAACTGATGAAAACCACCATTGTCCATTAGATCAAAAAAATCTGCGAAATCAAACATTGTTAGGTTTTTTTTTCACGATAAAAAATGGCTATGTTAGCAGTAAATTTTTTAAAGTTACAATTATTAAAAGAAAGATGGGCGCGATGAACCTCCATATATCTATATTCTACCCACCTCCATATATCTTGAATTATAATTGTTAATATCTAGGAGCGCCAGTTCATATTGATCCTTCGTCTTCTTCACGCTCTCCTCGCACTTAGACACCTTCTCCTGCAGTTTCCGGATCTAGATATAAAAACAATATTAGAGATAGGAACTTACTAATTATCAGAATAAGTTAACTAGCTACGAACAATTGAACAAATTATTTCGTGTGTAGATAAGAAGAAGTTTAAGTTTATTAATCCCGACCTTGGGTCATTTACAAGAATTATTCTTAATCCATTTCTGAACTATACTGTACAAGGAAATCGACCGATCTAAATACATGACACAATTTTAAAGGACATATATAAAATTGCACTCAAATTTACCGGTTTAATTACATTCCAATGGTTATAAACCAAATAAATAGTGTCTCGTGGAGTTTTGATAGAATCTCATGAAAATCTAATAGGATAAAAAACTTTTAAAAAGGCGTATCACAACAAGACAATGTTTAAGAGGAACTGTAAGCGTAATTTCAAGTGCCAAGCCAAAAATGGCAAGGCCTGGTTTACAACGGTACCCTCGAAACCTTTTTTAGACAAAAAATATGTAAAATATTGTCGTTTTCTATGATAAAGTGTTAATGTCTGATAATTTTTATATGTTTAACTGCCGTGGAAATGCGTAAGTCAATATTTGTAGAGTAACCACAATTGAAAATAATCAGTTTTTGAAATTATAAACATTGATATCTTCATACTTCATTCTTACTTAACAAAGCTTTTAAAGGGTAGCATTGAAAATCGGCCATTGCCATTCTTACATGAAGGGTTACTTGAAATTAAGATTACAGAAGAAGACTTATTCATTTTAATAAAGTTAGCAAAAAACATTTTTAACAATGAGAACTCATTAATACTTGACTAAACAATCGTTTTTGCTTTAAAGTTAATCCAATTTAATTTAAATCTCGTCATTAACAGAGATTCAGAAAAAACGCGCAAATAACAACATTTATGTTAAATCCTGAATCATGCTTTCAGAATTATTTCATTGTTTTTAAAATTCAGAAATCTCCAGCATTGAAAATTGAAATTGAGTAAATATTTCTAACTGTTATCTTCTTCAGTACAAATAAGGCAAAAACAATTTAAAAAAATCATTTTAACAAGTTTTATATCAAGAAAAATACATTTTAACTGCTATTTTAAGCAAACAAATTTAATTCAACTATAATTGTGTAAAAAAATCAGCAGTAAAAATTTTGTGAACATTGACAATTTCTATCTACAGATTTAATTTTTATGTATGTTTCTTTATAAGATAATGTTCGTTCAAACTATTGTTTGTTTCTAGATAGACGCTCAACTTCATAGGAGACATTTCGTAGATAAGACAAATTTCATCGGGTGAAAACAATTGTGGAGTTAAAAGACGGGTTTTAGACAAAAAAGGTGTAATTTTAAATAGTCAAATGGACATGAAATATAGCATTTGTGCAGTGTAAACATTAATTAAAAAACATTATTATACATAAGAATAATTAAAGCTCGTGTTCTTTTTTAACCGCTTTATGGGTAGCTGAGCGGGATTTTTATTAAGTGCTGTTTTTTTGCTGGCAGAGAGGCACTAAGGAATGGGGGTGGGATGTGTGTCATGCATATTGCAGAATAACATTCATTATTTCTAATTAAGTTAATAATGTTTCTTGTAACGTTGTAAACAGCGCTAATAAATAGAAATATGATGAGAAATAATTCTAAACAGGAGTCAAAAGGGCCAATGTTTTTGTAAATAAAGAGGATTATGGGATAAAAAACAGGGACTACTGAACACAAATAACGAGTAGTAAAGAACAGGAATGAACAAGAATGATCAGGAAGGAACAAGAATGAACAGGAATGAACAAGAACGAACAAAGGTGTTTTTCATAAGAAACACTGAGCAGGAATGTTAAATAAGAACAGGACGAAAAAACTTCCGCAGACAGATTTTTAAAAATTGTAGTGAACACATATTGTGAGAAGCACAAACATAAATGAGACTGTTACACTGGTGGGCAGCAGGGATATATATTTTGCAGAAATCACCGTGGTTGTGATGGAGGGGAAGGGGGG